ATATCTATTCTATTCTATTCTATTCTATTCTATTCTATTCTATTCTACTCTACTCTACTCTACTCTACATTCCAATATCTATTCTATTCTATTCTATTCTATTCTATTCTATTCTATTCTACATTCCTATATCTATTCTATTCTACTCTACTCTACTCTACATTCCAATATCTATTCTATTCTATACTATTCTATTCTATTCTATTCTATTCTTGTTTAGTTTTTTCCAGTGGGCTATACTGCCCACAGTGTCCAAAGCTGTTGGTGGCCTTTCCATAACTACATTACTTATGGTCTTCTTCTTCAGATTGCACTAAGAATCAATTCCGATGCCATAATAATTGGTGTAAGCCAAGGTACTGGCTTTGTGACACGGTGGATGACTGCGGGGACAACAGCGATGAACTGCAGTGTGGTGAGTCATTTCTATGAGGTGGAGAAATCTAGTGCACAAACAACGAGTTCACACTTTGGACCGCTTTTAGTATGAATTGGTGTTCAAAGCTCTTAGTTGTCCAGATGGGGTTTCTTAACTAAACCGTAATTTGACGTTTTGCGCAGTATATTGAAACATGAACTGGATTTACACAGTTTAGGAAGCTCAAAGCTGGTAAGAGTTGAGGGAAAATGGAAGGGCCTTGAGGGATGGAAGGAAGAGATATTGCCATGGCAATGGTATTGCTCCAAGGATACCATTCATGGGGCCCCATGAAAATGTAAAAAATAGACTTTAAACTTACTTCTCATCTTGGGTGAGAAGTATCTTTATATCCATCTTCCAAACCCAGATAATAACTTATCTTGACCTTATCTGGGAAATAACTATAAAGTATTTTGTTTTATATTTCATTTCATTTATTTATTTATTTTATTTTATTATTTTATTTTATTTTATTATTTTATTATTTTATTTTATTATTCTATTTTATATTTTTATTTTATCTTATATGTTATTTTAGTTTATTTTAGTTTAGTTTATTATATATTTTTATTATATTTTAAATTATTTTATTATTTTATTTCTTATTTGTTTATCCATGTTTTATGTTTTAACTAGTTGTGTTTTATCATTTTTATATGTCTTTTAGTTTTTGATTGGGAACTGCCAGAATTGGCTGAAAAATGGATGACTATATGAATGTTTTCAATAAAATGGTCAGATAAAAGAAGACTGAGTCCAGGGCAGAAATGTAATCTGAAAAAACATCCAAGACAACCCCCTTCCAAGTTGTCCCAAATAGAAAGGGAGATGATATCCATTCAGAGTTGCTAGCTCAGTGCTACAGCTTTATAGTGATAAAAATGATCTACATAACAATTAGATCCCTAGTGTGACTTAACTAAAAGGGTTGACAACAAACATGAGCCAAGGTGGCGCAGTGGTTAAATGCAGCACTGCAGGCTACTGCTAGATCAGCAGGTCAGCGGTTCAAATCTCACCGGCTAAAGGTTGACTCAGCCTTCCATCCTTCTGAGGTGAATAAAATGAGGACCC